ACGCATGAGTCCAGGCCTTTGCAGATTCTCCCCGTAGGTTCCAGTCCGATAAATGTCTCCCTCCAACTAGCCAACGATTTTTATCAATTTTTACTTCGTTTGGCCCGAAGCTACCTGACCTTTCGGTCATTTTATCTGTCATCCAGGAGTCATCACCCAGGTGCTATCGTACCCAGCGGCCTTTCTCCGAGAACTTCCCACTTCTAGGATTATTGGGAGGGGTGAGCATTACTGGCACGGGGAGGTGGTGGATTTCATCCGTCAGGGACGCGCCACTGACAGACCGTACCCCTCCCCCCCCCCCCCCCCCCCGGCACGTATGACACCGACACCCGGGCGTTTGCTCAGCCTTAGTGTTCATGGCACAACGCAACATACGAGTCCATCAGCATCGGCATCCCTTCCGCACCTCCTGCGACATGCTCCATCGATTATGCAATGCGGGTTATGTTGCTAGCAAAGGACGTTGTGCCGTGCCTTGCAAACAGCGCAGCATGTGGATTTCGTAAACAACCGGATCGGAGGCCTGACATGTGTACTTTTATTCCGCGACCTACGCGCCGCGCGCCTCTGGCCCCGATCCACGATGCGCTCAGCAATGCAAGATTTTAATTGCTCCCAATGGACGCTATATGACCGCGCAGTCGAAACGCCGTAAACCCCCAATTACTACTACTACTTCTTAGCCCCGTAAGCTGTTAAGGGCATGCGCGATGAATATTATATACAGAGGTGAGACGTAGCAACAGCCTTATTCCTCAGAGAAAAATGTAGGAGGGTGATGTATTTCCGCTTCTGCTTTTCGTTTCGCTAAAAGCATGATACCAAACTCTCAAGGCATCGATACCTCCATTCTCCGGTTTGTTCTCGGAGGAATAAGGCTATTACTACCGTCTAAATCCTTCGTTCGTTTACGAAGTGCACCACACTTCCCACATGACAAAAACCTAAAGGTTTGTGCTTGGCAAACTGATTTGCGCAGAAGCTCATTTTTCCTCGGCGCCCAAACGACTTTCGTCTCACGAAAGCCCCGGTTTCCGTAGACGTGACCCCGCGAGCTAATCCATCACGGCTTGCATGAGCTGCTGGTGCATGCGACAAGCTTACGTAATTTCCCGTGCATAGCTTAGCCCTTGACTTTTTACTATCGCTTATTTTGGATCTAAGAAGTCAGCATGGTGTGCGTCGACTTTTGAAGGCGTCTTCACTGAGGCGCTGCTTATTTTAAATGCCATTTAATGCATTTCTCCTTTGGGAAGTTGTCCGGTACCTTCAATTCACCGTGTACTGGTGGTATGGCTGGTCGGCGGTATATTCCCCAGGATTTATTATTCAACTTTCTCACAATTCGTTTCCTGTGCAGGCCATCATACTACAGGCGCCATGTGTACGACAAAGCTCTAGGTAGCTCAGCCAATGGAAAGATCAATGGCAAATTCCCTAACGCGGACAATAATTACAATGATATTTGACGTGCAGCATGTAGCACCACACTCACGCGCACACCTGCACACGTCTGCACACCCCGGCTCGGTTGACCCTCGCACTGGCACCACCCTACAAATGATCAAAACGGCACGCGGCCCGGGCTGGGGCCGGCTGGCGCACGCCACAGTCGCGTGCTCCACCTGCGGCGGCGTGCTCGGTGCCGGCCGGTCCGGCGCGCCGCCGCTAGGAATGTGGCGGCGGACGACGCAGCTCGCTTCAGAGCAGCATCACATGGAATATAGGCGGGGGCGGGGTGGTCGCGCGGGCCACCCATTACGCCTTGATGTAGAGGAAGATGGCCACGATGAGGCCGTACAGGCCGAGCACCTCGGCGAAAATGAGGATGAGGATCATGCCGACGAAGAGGCGCGGCTGCTGCGCCGTGCCGCGCACGCCCGCGTCGCCCACGATGCCGATGGCGAAGCCGGCCGCCAGCCCGCTCAGACCGACCGACAGGCCGGCGCCAAAGTGCACGAACCCGCTGTGGAGGGGACGTGGTCATCTCATCTGCAGTGTCAGGGAGCCAGCCAGCTTCCGACTGGACACAGTCGCGCTGCGTCACGTGACACGCCTGCGCCACATGACACTCCTGCATCACGGGACACTTCTGCGCCACGGATACTGCTGCGCCACGTGACACTCCTGCATCACGTTAAACGGCTCGAACATTCATGAGCTGGTGTCAACAATGACTCTAAAAGGACAGCGTTCGTTGAGACCTTGAACATAATACAACATCGCTGAGACCTTGAACACAGTGAAGTGGCATTGATGCTTCATGCCCCAAGGAGGACTCACTGAATCTCCGACATTTTGCGTGTATCAGTGTCATCCATCCTTCTCGGAATGTCTCACAGTCCACAGCCCCTTTGAGCACATGTTGGCCAACCAGTGCACGGGTACCGGGACGCAGAACTCACGAGAAGAGCTCGTAGGTGGCTGGCTTGGTAATGCCACCAGCGATAAGCACGGCCACCACCAGACCATAGATGGCGAGGATACCAGCCATCACCACGGGGATGATGGACTTCATGATGAGCTCGGGCCGCATCACCGACATGGCCGCGATGCCGGTGCCCGACTTGGCTGTGCCATATGCGGCGCCCATCGCTGCGAAAACCCACATCAGGGTCAGCAGTGACTGGCAGCACACATCGTAAAACTCTGTCACCTGATACTGGGCTGGCACAGACAGTCATGGATCCCTCAGACAATCAGGGGCACCTAGCACGGTTTGTATGCTGTGAGCAGGACTTCACATCATTGACAGAACACAAGAGCAAAGTTTGGGGGGTGCAGTCATCCCTCACAGGGTGTGGGGAGGGGATCATTTTTATGCCACATAACAACATTTTCTCTTGTATTTGCTTTTTAGACCTGTCCAGGGGATAAAATCCCTGAACCTATTAGCACTTTCAATTGCTGCAGGAAAGGAGAGACAAACAGAGGAGCTGCTCAAAGTTCCAAAACAATGTTCTCACTTCACCCACAGTCTTGTGTAGTCTACCATATTCTATTTTCCTCATTGATCATGACTAGTGATTGTAACTTGAACATGAACTCATGAACAACAGTTATATATATATATATATATATATATATATATATATATATATATATATATGTGTGTGTGTGTCATGGGGCCTCTTAACATTTTGCCATTCTTGTTTAGATGCCAACTGGCCTGTGAGATATCATAACTGCCACAGAGCGGCATCCCTCAGCATTATATGATACAGGAAATATTCTCTCATGCTGTCTCAACACTTGCTGTTGAAATGGAACTGCCCTGATATGGTGCTAGATATCATGGTCTTCACATCCTGTCTGCATATCACTTATTACAATGTCTTATCTCAGAACCATCCATAAAAATGATCATTTTTCAATTGTTTCACAGAATAACTTAAGATGGCCTTCTCTCAGAACAGATGGTCCACAGGCTCTGCCAAATGACTGCTAAAAAATATTTCAGCACTCATCTTGAATGTTAAGAGACCCAGAACAGCAGCCTGACATGCTGCTATGCTTTATTCAGTTAATTATGCAGTCAAGGAACCAAACTTCATCAGATTTTGCACTAATGATATACCACTAACCCCCAGCTCACAAAGCATGACAGGGCTGTCAGAAAGATGCTTGATATATCAAAATGATGTCCCTAATATGTGGGCCTTCCACTCTTAATTACATCAACATTTCAGGATAACTTACAATAGATCACACCCCCATCACAGTTAAGCCATACAGCACATAACAGAATCACTGCCCAACATTTTAAGCTTGTCCCAACTAGCATTATTTCTGTGATGCCCATTCTAACATGATCTTGAGGAATGCCATCATAATAAGCAGCCAAAGACCTTCACATCTAGGTGCCAGCTTTGGTTCCTCAAAATGTGCAAGCTCCTTGTCAAATCACACAGCTGAGAACTGTTCACCCTGATCCCTAGCTTAGTAGGTTACAACATCAATCAGGTGACACCGCAGGGGAGGGAAGACTGCTCAATTAGATTGGACAAACATTAAGGCATGGCAAAACAAGAAGCAAGATGAGTCAAGGTGAGCCTGAGGAAATGCAAATTCCTATTTCAGAGCTTTATTGAGGGCCACATCTGGCCAAGCCAGACGATCCACATTGCCTAGGCACCTTACCCTGTTATCCAATGTGACTGCAATCCATGCAAACATTCCCTAATTCACACAAAGCAATTCACAGACATTGGCCAATTATACCACAAACTCTGCACAATGTCTTCAACTGAAAGGAAAGATCCAAGCACCACTTCTCCGGCCACAGGCTAACGGCAGGGACGAACAATAGGCAAGTTCACATACGGCGGTCCTTACCACTGAACACCATGGCTGAAGCAGCTCCCATGACGCCGAAAAAGGGGCCATAGATTGGTCTTTCGTCAGTCGACATGTTGTAGGTCTTGGAAATACTTTATGTGACGTGTCTTTAACGACCCAACCTACAGGCAGCCAGCACGGGGCACGACACAGCCACTTCCCAGCCGGTTGCTGTCGGGAGATGGCCGAGTCTTGTGACACTCAATAGTCGGCGACGGGATGTATTTGTTCTAGCGGTTTTGATTCGTCAACGGCCCAAGTTTCGTCCTCCATAAACCAATCAGAGACCCTGTCACTCAGCACCGTGCCGATGACGTCCTCTGACGTCACAAAACTTGACTAGGAAAGTGGGATTTACTACGGTAAAGAGGACTAACGTTAGCTAGTTTATGCGATTGCATAAGGGAAGCCACCCTAATTAGGCCTATGTTTAGCATGCCGTCTTGGGTTTAGCCTTGTTCCCTGTTTTCTCCCAACAGCTTTCGTCAAACTTCACCGACGTACCCAGAAAAAAACTGCGAAGAAGTAGCGAAGCAAACGCTACGAAACTTTTTTTCTGAATCGAATTTTTTCAGCTGTTGAAGCTAGTTTTGAAGTCCAGAAACCTTATTTAGGTCAATTTGTGATACAACCGGCTTTCCGACAGTTTCCAGTAAGGCCTAAACCTGCGCGGTTCACCCAAATTTGCGCGGTCCGGCCCGATGCTGATGAAGTCGTCCAAGAGATTGGAGGCAGCGTGACCGGCAGGAAGGGTCATATCTTCCCTTCCCAGATGCCTCGTGACCACACCTGACAACAGTGTCGACTCCCGTTCCGCCAAGGTCTGCCCCCTCCCTCCAAAAACCAACTGGAACCTGCAGCTTATTTGAAACACCACCGAGCTGTGGTGGCGCCCCGCCACCGAACCTAATCAGTGCGCGTTTTGTATAAATCACGCGCGAGGCAGTCCGCCTCATCAACCATAATCTCCAGATCGCGTTCAGACGGATTAAATCGCTTGTGTTGCAAGTATTGATGTTCATGTGATTGCACTGGGACATAAGTCCCAATATTTAGATCATAGTATGTCAATCTCCGACCAGATACTCAAAAAATATTGATCTGTAAGACGAAATCAAACAACCATCACCAATTGGATGCGTATTTATGAACGACTACGGATCAACACTACATTCACCACCCTATGCTCATGTAATAACAGACTGCGTGCGGGACTTCTTCGCATCACGTTATCTTCGCGTTCACAGAAAGCGCAGAACAAACACTAGTACTGAAGACGTATACCATGTGGGACATGCTATGAGGACGTCACTTAAACCAGCTGGAATGAGTGATGTGCAAACCATGCAGCATCAGGCGAATGTCACAGTTCCCACTTTATAGCTAAGATTGTATCATAAATTAATCGTCTATACCAAGTCATGCAAATTACAAAGGATACAAACCATCAACAAAATCAGGCGCATCCAACAGAATGAACTTATCCCTCAAAGCGAGAGAACATGAAATGATGATCATTCACTCAGCCTCACTGCAAAACGCGTCTAAAAACCAAAGACACGTGAGCAGGGTGACTTAGGGAATCGTAAGGTCACCTATCAGGTCAGTCACACGCAAACACACTCGTAACAAAGCCACGCGCCCCACACAAGCATCACTAAAATAGAGCCATCGCCGAGGCACGCCGGTCATCAAAATCACTACCCCTCATAAAACACCGCGACCGGGCCAGGCGCCGGGAAAACCAGGTTGCGCATCACCCCCGGGCGCCGGGCGCCAGGCGCGATGCCGACCACGCCGAGAGCTCCACCAATCGCCACAGCGCACGCCGCGACCGCCGGCCGCGTGACCAGCGCGGCCGAGCGCCCTCACGCCTGGGCGGCCAGCTGCGCCAGGCTCTGGGCGAAGTTGTGCAGCACGCGGTGCCAGAGCGCCGGGTCGTGCAGGTACGCCGGGTGCCCGCCGCCAGGGATCACCGCCACCGTCGACGTCGGGATGGCCGAGAGCGCGCGCTGCGACGCGGCGCCCAGGCCGCGGTCTTCTGAGCCGTACACGATGGCGGTCGGCACCTGCCGGCACGGGGTGGCGTCAGGCGGCCGGCGGGTTACATGCGGCGGCGTCAGGCGGCTGGCGGACCGCACGCGGCAGCGGACCCTACCCGGGAATAGCCGACATCGACACACACGGACGGTCAGTGACTCGACGACGAATGGCATGCGCCGAGACGTTGCAGCCACCGTGCGTGAGGGCTATGGCTAAAGGCCGGATTTTTTTGCAAGCTAATCGAATGCCCACACATCTGTTAACGCAACGATTTTTTCTCAGCAGTTTGGCGCGCAACTTTTGCAGGTGTAGTGATAAGGATCGTTCCACTTTTATATGGGGTTTGAAATGAGATAGACATTTTCTAAAATCCTTACATGTAGTTTACAGCCATGCTCTTTTTTAACGCTTCAAATCCTCTCGTTTCTAAGCTAAGCGCACGCGAACTTGTACATACTTTTTCGCGACACCTAGTTTAAAAGCACCCAGAGATGCATGACATCGAAAAAACGTCACAATAATTCCGCCTCCTCCAAGGCCATGTTGTGTTCAAGGTCAACAAACATATGGCCATTGATCTTTCCGTGCCTGAATTGCGGCAGCACGCATTGTCGCATCAACGGACACCAGTTAGCTTTCAACAAGCCTAACGCGTTAAATGCAAATCTCGAAAAGCGTTTTGAGATGCATAACACAGACTTTTGGGCAGATCTACTAGTCGTAACAGACATGAGACTGGGAACCGAATAGCTTAAGAAAAGCACCGGACAGAAGAATGCAAATACAAGTAAAAAACACGCTATGACGGAAAAATATAAAAGAACACCACCACGAGAAAGGGCCAAAACACGCGTACATCACGATGGTCGTTTTTTGCTTATAATTCACGAAACACCTTGCGGCGAATTGAAGTACTATAAGTAGGTCAGCCAACGCCAAAATTCGCAATTCTGACAGGGCTAGTCTGACAGCGACTCTGACGCCACAAAATTGTGCCATGGCTTAATCAAACGATGACGTTTCGAGGGTCATATTAGCTGACTAGTAACAATGCTTTATCTAGAACGGTCTTTTGCAGTGAAAAGCGTACCAATAGTGACAAGTGAGCTTGTTCCGTCTCATCTCATGCCTGCCACAATATCTTCAAATGTGAAACATTACTTTGACAGACAGCCACACCATGCATTGGGGCTTACGGAGTCCTGGTACACACCCGACCCAGGCAGATTACAGTACCGGAAGTAAAAATACCCACTCGCCGGTTTCCGTCCCAACTGACGGCCGTAATGCACCACGATGCACTTGGAAATCGAGCTGTCGTCCAGGCCACACGACGATAAGGTTCCACCACCCATTCCACAGGTCCCACCCCAACAGCCACTACGGGTGCCAACCGTGGGGGTGGAAACAGTGTAGTGGTTACGCGTCTGCGTTCACCACTGCGCGTCTGGGAAACCAGGGATTCGATTCACCGCAGTGCCCCCGCCCCCCCCCCCCCCCCTTCCCGCCACGGTGAGAGACAGGCGACGCCATACAGTCTCAGCAGCTGAGAGCGTCATAAAGCCCTTATGACGACGACGGCGCCCGCCGCGGCCGCACGACGGCGCCACCGTCGCGGCCGGCGGGTGACGGCCGGCCCGCAGACGGTCGGCCGCGTACCCGGATGGCGCGCAGCTGCTCAGCTGAAAGCTTCTCGGTGCCGACCGGCGCCACGGGCACGAAGCCGGCCAGCCAGCCGGGCTGCTCGGCCAGCAGCGGCAGCGAGAACTCGCCCGAGAGCGAGGGCGACACGAGCACCGTGCGCCCGCTCAGGCCCAGCGCGCTGCGCACGGCCGCCAGGAAGCCGGCGCGGCTGGCGTCGGCCGGCAGGCTGCCGCGCGACCGCGATTTGGAGAAGCCTGACGGCGAGAAGGGCAGCGTGACACGCGGCGGCGCGTGCAATGGAGGGCAGAGGTGAGGCGGCGGACACACGCAGCACCGACTCACGCACTGCAGAGTGCACGGCGTGAGGCTCGTCCGGACGGGTGGGATCGGGGTGGATGGGCGAGTGGTGAAACACCTCGTAATCCGCCATGGCCGGCACTACCACACAGGATCTGGCGCGGTTGCTCTCACATCATGGAGAATGATTAAACAATGATATTATCGCATTGTGTGATCGAGACGCATTTGCGAGACGTTTCTGTCCCTCTTCCACATTTGCGGTGAGTTTCCGCACCCCTGTATAGACGTGAGCATGGTTCAGCCACGTGGCAGCACATGCTGGGACCACAAGACAGCACAGCAACGACACTAAGGGACAACAACGACGAACACAACAAGGCAAAAATAAGTGAATGCAAGACACATCCTTTTGGATACTTGTACTGGACATGGCAGTGAGTAATGCAGTGACGGCGGCACCGCACGTCCCGACCGGGCCTGCGCATGCGCCGTACCGGCGCCAGGCAGGTCGATGGCCACGGCCGTGTAGCCGAGCGCGGCCAGCGTGCGCAGCGTCTTCATCTCCTGCCACGTGGCCGACGAAAAGCGGGAGCCGTGCAGCAGCAGGAATGTCAAGCCGTCCGCCGGCGGCGCCTCGGGCAGTGCCACCGCGTAGTGCACGTCCACACCCTGCAGGAGGAAGAGGTCAGACGAGGCCCATCAGCCACCGGCATGGGCCTCGACGGGGGCGTGCGGTCGGAGCTGCAGCGAGGGTGAGACCCAGCGCCGTGATCGGCCGCTTGTTGGCGGATGAGCCCTTCCGTGGTCCTCCGAAACCGTTTCTCTTGTCAATCCTCATCCTGCTACCAGACAGATAAGGAGATATGGGCAACAGTTTCGTGCCCAGAACGCGCACAAACTCAATCAGATCAGGTAGATATCAATGCTCGCGATGTTCTTCTCGCGCTGCTGTTTAAACGCGCAGTGCTTGCCGCATGTACATCACTTGGTACAAAATCTCCAAATTTCATGGGGTAGAGGAAGTCACGAAACATTAAAATTGGTTAACAAGCACTCACCTGAACCGAGACTTCTCCGGTTTTCACCGTAATCTCGTCCACACTGAGGCTGGGCAGCTGGCCAACAGTGAGGTCGATGGCAGCGCTCCTAGCGGCGCCAGCTCGAGACTCAACGCGTTCCCGACGACGCCACGCCGTCATTCACGCCAGCCATGATGATGGGCGACTTTTTCCCCGGCAGCCAGAAGGCGCTCATATAAGCTGTTGCCCTTGATGATCGTGCGTGGCGGAAACGAGAACTGCGCCTGTGGAATGGTACTGCTTAGATGGAAACGCCACACTTAGATAGCTGCATCACCTAAAGTGCATAACTGAGCGAGTCTTACATGAACTGAACATTACTTTTTCAAACTCAGGGGCGTGGCTTGGTTCGGCCGCCACGCTTTGTGGAAGCTTATAGCTTTGCAGCCACTGATCACAGGTTTATACAGTTTCCGGCAAAAACAAGTGCCGTTTTTTGAAAAGTTGTGCGGGATATATTGTTGACCATTTGTGCATGAGTTGTCTCATCAGTGAAGCTTTCCCCTGCAAACAATGCAAAATTACTATTTCACCTTCCCATTCCTTAACACCTTGACCTACTTGTTACAAATCCTAAAGAACACAGGTCAAAACCGCATCCAGATTTTGACAATGTGGCGTCGCAGTGACGCAAGACTGACAGATTCTCTTGCAAGGTAAAGCTGACAATCGTAATGACAGAAGTGTAAGTCAATAGGCATACAGATAGATGGCCACATGCTGCCATGGGAAAAGCATGGACCTGCCCAGCTTACTATGAGTTTAAGTGGCTCATGTCAGATCTCAGCAAATGGAGCAGATCACAACATGAAAGCCTGAGTACTGTAACTTCAAAATGGAGTGAAACTAACCACATGAGTGTGAACAGACAGAATTGGGCTCCACAACCAGCCTTGCAATTATTATATGGGTCTACCATGGACTGGAAATGACAAGCATCACTACTTACAAAATGGACCTTGACAAAATGGCCTCTACTATTGACCATGGAAATTTAATGGTGTGTAGTGCTGACCACTGTAAATGTTATCATCAGAAAAATATCCACAGTTTCCAAACAGGTGCATAGTATCCATTCCAAAACTCATTACAATCTTAGCAATTTTATTGCTGATATTTCCAGATATGCCTACCTTAAACCTTTACTGCAAATGTTATGCTTATTATTGAACTGCTGGTCTCACACTGGAAAGCTTAACATGCTGGTATTAACTAGGAGGATAGTACCACATAATAATGGTGATAGCATAAGAATGTCAACTTTGTGAGAAAAGTAGCTTAGTAGAGGAGCAGCTATAGCTCATTGACCACAGTCTTATTGTAAACCTGAATAATTAAGATGATTTAAATGGACAATTATACCTACAGCATAATTGTGCTGCATCATAACTACACAGGAGTTGCCCACTTTCATGAGCCACCACAGTACTTGGGGAGATCACTCCTAAGATCTAAATGTCCAGAACTCCACTTAAACCATGATATCATGGTTCTATGTAAAATTGGTACCTGTTATCAGTCAAGTAGGTACATTCTATATAGATTGATAGTAAGTCATCATCTGTCTGTCAAAAAAATGCATGAGCCAAACTGTATTGAAATTGAAGTATATCATTTTTAAGTATGTTTGTTTAAGTATATTATTTTAACTACAAAATATACCTGTGACACAAACACATTGCGTACAAGCCTTCCTCAGGCTGCCTGAGTCAGGCACACCCAACATCTGAGAAGGTAGCAGGCAATGCTATTGCTGTTATCTTGCTAACTTGCCAATGTTTTACTAACTTAATGTTTTACCCAACTTCATATTTCAGCATATACATAAGCAGCTACACATGCATCATATTCAGCCACCTATAGGAGGCCACACATGCATGCACACACATGCATCTAAATATACATAGCTATTTATACCTAAAAATGGCTGGACTCCCATGACACTGTTTACTTAATGGTTGCCCTCATAAGTTAATTTATTTCAAACCTACATTGATCTACACCTCTGCAAGTCACATACACCAACTCAATGTTCATATACAAGCCATGTTTATTCTTAGACCCAATGAACTGACAGGCGCTCTGAAGGATCCAAAAAGGAACACATTTAATGGGGAAGGGCTTAATATTTTCTGTAAAGGCACTTATCCTGGCAGCACAACACTGATTGGTTCCCAAGCAACGCATTGGAGTGCAGAATCAGGACGCAGGTAAGTTTTCAGTTGCATTGCATTACGTGATAACCCCACCAATCCCGGCAAACACTATTAACGCCTACCCTCCTGCGTGCCCGGGGTATATCTTTGAATGCACCCCAAACAGAACATTGGTTCCGGTGCATTCTACATGTCTTTGGCGCGTCAATATGACCGCGGCTGAGAATATACCATATAGGGTGGATTGTTTCCAAATTCCTTTATGCAGCATATTGGTTTCGAAAAACGCCGAATCTGAACTAATGCGGTTCCCTTTCGGGGAGAACAAAGAGGGGCAGAAGTGCTTCCCTAATTTGCAAAAAAGGAGGAATTTTGTAGATGTAAGGCTTTCTCATCATGCTTCTTTACATCAGGAAATCAGGCACCTTTACTACACGACGAGCACTTCGGGCCAGCCCTCAAAACTGTGCTCCGGTCCCCCCCTGGTCCCGGCCAGGGATGGTGATGCCGTGAGGGACGTAGGAACACGTCCGCTGTAACTTTCAAGACTTGGGGGCCTTCCGCACAACATCCGAGATCCGCAAAAGTTCAACGCTTGTGCGCGAGTTCTGGTGAAGTTAGTAAAACCACATCTCACACAAAACGTGACATGCCCTTCTTATTTGACGCAGCTCTTCAGGGATATTTCTTAGAGGGGGGAGAGGAGTTAGGAGCACTGGGGGCACTTGCTCCTATGAAATATTAACAGGCAAAAATATGCACGTAGCAATGTTGGCGATTAAAAATCGAGATGGACACGTAAGTATAAGTGGATTAAATACATGCCACGCCACTATATTAGCGTGCAATAAATATCGCGCGGAGGTATCTAAATGAAAAACTTCCTTCATCCTGCCCGCCATTGTGAAATCCTTTACCTGCTCTAGCGACCTCTTAACAACGGCGAAGACATCACGACCCGAACTCAAAGCATGCGAATCCTCTTAATAGGTAGGCTCACGCACAAGCTGCAATCGGAAACTCGGAAACTGCAAAAGAAAGCTGCAGTTGCCAGGGAGCGTGTGTTATCTCAGCCCACTCCTCCGCTCCGGACAGCTTTCATCAGCACGGTCGCTTTGGCTGACTATTGACGTCTCGAGCAGCAAGGGCGCACTCAGCACGTCAACTGAGCGCGTCCACGGCTGTGAGTCAGCACCGATAGTGGAGTGCGGCTGGTCAGCGTCTGGCTTTATAAAAACGGACCGACGCACTTTTCGGATTTACGTCGTTCTAAAAAACGACAGAACGCAAACAACATAGGCCATCGACACATCATAGTTATCATCGGCTTTAGAGCCGAAAGATCGAGTGAAATATAGATTCAGTTTCGGCGCTTATGCTAGTACGTCACAAGCTAAAATACAACAATTTTGCTCTGTGAAACTAAGACCAGATCATGACGTCATTTGTTTTCTTCCGCTGGTCTGATTGACGGGCCGGCTACGTGCGACACGCAGGCTGACATGCCGAGCGGCAGTAGCTCGCGCCCGCACGGGCTAGGACTGCGTACCTATTCGACAGTGTGCTCGGCACTTCGACTTTCCCTCCACGCGCTTTTAACGGATGTTCTTCGGAGATGACCTCTTTTCGGGGATCATGACCATCCATCCATCCCCAAATTTTGCGCTGGGTCAACCATTCGCAATTACGAGAAAGTCCACCCTTTGTTTTATTCTCTATCTGTTCTATTATAATGTTCTATCTATCTGTCCTATATCTATCTGTTCTATATGCTCTATTTATGCTCTGTCTGTACCTTGAAATAATCATATATGAATAATTTGCAAACAATTAATTGAGCTGACATCTGTATGCGTTTGTAATGATTTAAACCAGTGATTTGTTGCACTGTTTTTCAGCAAAAAGCTGGTGCGCTTTAAGATGAAACGATGCAGAAACGTACCAAATCTCATAAATGTGAATATAAATGCTTCTTTGCAAATACCCTACGTGCGAGGCCATATATATATATATATATATATATATATATATATATATATATATATATATATATATCTAGGATTTACATTTGCGTGTTCATATATCATATTCCCTGTACGATTTAAGCCTTTTTAATCATAGCCACGCATCGCCTTATGTTGCGTGAGCGGCTAGTCGAGAACATAGGAGCCCGCGGGGCGAGCGCCAGAAAATACTCGATATTTTTCCTTTCGAAGATTCAGACAGACCACATATAGGTAAACTGACATGCATGACCAATTGAAGTTGCCAGTTAACGACAGTAGGTTACATAAAGGAAGCTGATGTCGATCAATTTTTTAAGTGTGTGTTTGGACCTACTGGACCTACCATCCCGGACAGGAACCCCTCTGAAACTTATATACCTACCACCGATTCAAATCCAGCGATGCTCGAGCCTATTCATCACCGAAACCCGATTTCACAGATTATCTTACTTCATATGACTCCATCGCTTGAATCTGGGTAATCACGCTTCATGGCGATAATGCTAGCAACTAGGTTGAGCTCTTGGAATCATTTAATGATCTTTCCTTCTTGTTTTCCATCGTAGCCGGATGTGCACCCGCCGATGAAGACGTATGATCGCCTTATGTGGTAGCACGCCTATCAATACAGAACATCTCACCAGTATAAAGACACGTATATTCGCACAGCCAGCTAAAAATCATGGCGGTTGTGGAGGCACCTGATCCCCGTCCCCCCAACCAAAATTGTGCGCCGCCGCCCACGGTCTCAGCTGATCAAAAGTCACTGGAATTCGGACTCGGTCGACCCCATTGGTGGCGCAGATCATGCGTAAAGCCCCTGTGGCGGTCCAGAGGCCTCGAAATAATCAGATGCCCTCGTTAGCCTTTCGTACCGGCGCCCTTGGCCTTATCAGCCAGGCACCCGGCAGACATTTCGAGGCTCATAATTGTCTCAGGCTTCAAACTTCCCTCAGGG